CCTCCCCAAACCCCACCCCCACCCCCAAATATAATCCACTCCGCAACCCTCAGAGGGTTTTTAGAGGCTATAAATCACACAGAAGAAGATTCCCCATATTTCTTTCTCAGAGCAACTGGTAGATTTGAACCATCTGCCTTTGGCTTGACAGAGCAATTCTTCATCTGCTGGAACATCAGAGTACATCACACCTTAAACTAGTTACTCCAAATTTCTGTATGAAGAAGTAGTTCTATCTGGCTCAATGTGCTTTTTAAAAAAAATTTTAAAATATTTTTTCACTTTATTTTTATTTTATATTGGTTTGCAAACAAAATTCATATATATACATATATATTTGTATCATTCATGTACAATTGTGTTGGATATTAATGATGTACAGATGTACATCTGGTGGTAACGAACACCAATGTGGGAGGCAAAAGTAACGATGGCTATTATGGTTAAGGTCATGTGTCAGCGTGGCTGAGCCATGGTCTTCAGTGGTTTGGTCATGTGATACAGTTTGGCAGTAATGACATAATTTGACAGTGAGGTCATGGTATGTTGTTGTTAGGTACCATCACGTCTACTAGAACTCATAGCGACCATATGAACAACCGGTTGGAACCTTGCCCTGTCCTGTACCACTCTCATGGTCATGCGCACGTCAACTATGTCATTCCATGTCATTAAGCGTCTTCCTCTCTTTCGCTGATTTTCCCTTGGTCCTCCCAAATTTTGTAACCTGATGTAGTCATCCTCTATTTTTACTTATTGCTGATTTTCACATGTCAATATATAACCATATTGATGGGGGAATGCCATGTGCTTTTGAAAGCTGTGTCTCTAACCTACTGATGTCACTAAGAAATGATGAAGGAGAAAAGAAAGGAATCCTTTTGTTCTCCACCTCCATTTTTTCCATGGATTTGAAATATGAGCTCAAACTCTAGTTCCCATCTTTGGGGTCCTACAACCTAAGGCCAGATGCTACTTGGGCTGGACTTTGTTGACAGCTTTTTGAGGTTCTTCTTAGTAGTATGTCCTTCTAGGTCTGCTATGGTACTTGTGATCCCATCTTGCCTACATCACTTCTATTTTTCAAAGCAGGAAGCTGCCCCAGTTTCTTTTCTCTTCCCAGAGGGGACCCTCCTTAGTAGTAAATGATTGTCTTTTCAGATGACCTGACATTAAGAGAGTTTTTGCTGGGAAGACATCCTCTCAACCTCACCTGATTGTAGAAGGATATGGGGATGCCAATGGTGTATTTCATGGGGATTACAGCAAGTCCCCTCTTCTTCCAGTAATTTTTTTGGTTAAACTCCTCTGCAGCCTGTTTCCTAGCATGGAATGAAGATTTCTCCAGGCATTCTTTCCAGCATCTTCTCAAGGGCTCTGGATTAAATGTCTGCCCATAGGCTGTTTTGCTAAGTTTCTTAAACATGTTTATTTCCTTAACCTGAAAGAGGAGAAAAGAAAAACACTTGTGAAATGTTTGTTCATTTATGTGGAACACACATTTTGCTAGGTGAAAAGTATGAAGAAAGTCTTTCTAAAGAAATAAACTAGTTAAAGGAGCTTTGGTGGCCTAGTGGTAGGAAGCTGCATTATAATTGCAAAGGCATGTGGTTCAAATCTACCCAATGCTCCATGAAAAAGGATAGGCAATCTCCTCCCATGCAATTTAATGCTTCTGAAAACCCATTGGAGGGTCAGCTACGGGCCAGTTCTGACTTGATGGTACACAACAATATTAATATTTAAATGGTTATAAGTAGGCAAAAATCCTAGTAAAAACCCTGATTAAGCATTTGTTGCTAACTGAAAAGTTATGGTTCAAATCCACCCAGTATTTTCATAGGAAAAGGGCTGGAAGATTTGCCTCACTAAGAAGTACAGCCATGAAAACCTAAAGGGGCGCTTCTGCTCTGTCACAAGGGGTCTCTATCATTTGGAATAAAATTATGGCTTTTAACAACATAGATAATACAAAAGCAATGACGATAATAATGGAAACTTACTGCTTACGGCACACCCATCATATGCTCCAGGCCCTGCTAATTGTGTTTGTTACCTCAGTTAAACTTTAGTTCTGAGGAATATTGCTCTGAGTGCGCTACAATCTCGAATCTCAAATTGCAGTTCAAATCTGCTAATTGCTCAGTGGGAGAAAGATGGGCAATCTCTTCCCACGTGATTATCTGCCTCTGAAAACCTGCTGGAGGGTCAGCTATGTGTCAGTTCTGATTCAATAGTAAACAACATCATCATTGGTGCTGTCACAAGTTTTATTACTGGGGTGACAAAATTCTCTTGACTCAAAATAGAAATTATCCTATACAGGAGCTCCTCACAGGCCTGGACTGTGGGAGACTGTCCCAAAGTCCACAGTTATTCTGCTGTTTCACACTCTGATGCTGCACTTTCCCACCTGACTGTCTTTGACCAATAGCAAGAGCAATAAGTAAGTGATGTAAACAAAGGCTTGAAAAGTACTTGCACATCAGGGCTTGCCATGGTCTCGTCCCTCTTGGGAACTCTGTTACCACCACCAAGTAAACAAGTCTACTAAGCTAGTGTGTTCAGGAATGAAAGCAGAGATGAGCTGTCCCTATGAAGTGATTTCTTAATGAACAGCTGACACAAGCGAAACAGTCATGGAACTGAATGCTGCTTCAGACCAGAAAATTCCAACTGTGCTGGCCTTGACCAGAAGGACCACCCAGCTGAATGCTTGGTCATAAAAATATTATTCATTGTGTTCAAGACACTACATTTTATGGTGACTTGTGCTGCAAATGCTACATGGACAAATCTATCTTGTTTCTTTGAATCCACAAGATTGACCTAAAGCCATAGGTAGATATTCCAGATAAGTGTATCAGATGTCAAGATTGAACGTCAGATGCTGGCAGGACAATGATGCTTATTAGAGGCTCCTTAGGGAGTTCTCATGTTTACCTCCTCAGGGAGTAAGTTGCAATGGGCTGCCACTGTATTTATGTAGGCTTCCACTACTACCGTGGCCTGGGGGTAGCCAAATCCTCGGAAGGCAGTGTTGGATGGCAAATTTGTTTTGCAAGGTCTGCCCCGGCACCGGAAATTAGGAATATGATAGGCATTTTCAGATTTCAGCACAAGGAACTCTACCACCTGAATGAGAAAAGCACAAAAATCAAACTTTGCTGAGAATTCAAGACCGCTTCTCTGAATTTTATCTCTGATTTGAATTCTTCATGGAATTTATCAAATTTCAAATTATAGAATTAAGGCAAATGTTCAAGCAGATCAACTACGTCACACACAGCTCTACTGATAACTCATAGGAAAGGAACATTTAATACTCACCATCTCAGACTCATCAGGAGTACATCCTCCATTGACGTAATATTCAACATCAGCAGCTTTGATGACACCATTCTCCATGAAGCCAATCTGCAGGGTGAGAAAGGGGCGAGGGAAGTTTCTCAATAGTTCACCTTTGCAAGCAAACCACGTGGGACACAAACACAGCTGGCCACAGTGGCCAGCTGACGCAACTCATGTCCATGATTTGACGTGACACCAATGACCAGAGTGACAGGAGAGATGATGCCCCAGCTGAATATGGCCCCGCCCTGTGGTTCTGATGAGTTTCAGGCAGCATCCAAACATGTCTTTCAAGGGTAACGCTTTAATCTTGATCTCAATTACATGTTGGTTAACAGTGGACAGTTTTGATCGTTTGCCGGAATCCCTGCTCTCACTCACTTTGTATTTACAATAGAGAGGGTGGCGGCCAGCAGTTATCAGCATGTCATCTCCACGCTCTAGAATAAACCGGATTGGGCGGCCAGTCCTGCAGGAAATGACTGTTAATACACTGCACGTGCCACAAAGTTGGGGCCACACAGAGAAAAGGGGAGAGGACACAGTCTAGTTTAGTGGTTTTCCATAAGAGTAGTGACACACCTTAAGCAACATTTTTTAAAATTTGTGGATGAATTTAAAAACATTTTTGATATTGAAGTTAGGCTTGATTTTAGAAGTTATACTACCTGGGTGTAAATTGGTCTTTCCTTTTCAATCTTTATAATATTACATTAAAGCATTATACAGTTGTCAACTAGGTAGATTGTGCTAGAGATGGGTTGACACAGTGATTGTACCAATGGGCTTAAACAGGGGGGAGATTGTGAGGATGGTACATGATCCTGTTAGGCTTCTGTCTGTTGAAAACGGAGTTGCTATGAGTCACCGTTGACTTGATGATACCTAACAACAACATTAGGAGCCCTGCTGGTAAAGTAAAGTGGTTCCATGCTTGCTTGCTGCCAACTGAAAGATTGCCAGTTTGAACCTACTAAGTTACTCTGTAGGATGAGGGTTGAATAGTCTTCCTCGGAAATCCAATGGGCCAGTTGTGCTCTGCCCTGTAGCGTTGCTAGGAGTCTGATTTGATCTGATGGCAAAAGGTTTTAGTTTATGTTATAGAGAATTCCACTTTGAAAGTGCAGAAACAGCACCATAGTATTTGCCATAGGGAGTCGAAGGTGAAAGAGCTGAGAATTTATGCTTAGTTTCCTTCTCCTATGTACTAACTACAACCCTTTAGAAATGAAATGGCAAATAACAAAAGCGATGACCATTGAAATGAAAACTGGAGTGCAGGACTTGAAGGACACTGGCGACCTTACCATGGCTACAGTGAGTGACGTTACCAGCTATGACTGCGACCCTTACTTGTTGGCAGCCACAGCACAGACAGCGCCCAGCAGTGAGGGCTTGCTCACTTTGCCCCCAAACGCTCCCCCAGCTCGCCGCATGCAGCATTCCACTCTATTCCTTGGGATGTTTAGTGCTCCAGCCACAAATTCCTGCAAAAGACAAATCTCTGAAGTCATAATGTCATGAATTCCACACCCATGCACTTCCCCTTTGTCTAGTAAAATGAATTCATTAATCCAATAATTCATTAATTCATTTTTAGAGTTGTACAATCATTACTATAATCTGATTTTAGAATATATTAATCATCTCCTAAAGAAATTGTATGTTCATAAGCAACCATTCCCCACTTCCTCCAACCTTCCCAGCACTACTAGTAGGTTAGTAATCACTTCTAAATTAAGGAGCTCTGGTGGCCTAGTGGGTAAGAGGTTGTGCTGCCAACCCAAAGGTAGGTGGTTTGAACCCACCAGCTGCTCCTTTAGAGAAAGATGGACAATCTCCTTCCATATGATTTACAGATGTAGGGTCAGCTATGGGTAAATTCCACCTGGACTGCAATGAATTTGGTTAGTAATGAAGAACTAGTATATGTCAGAATAGAACTCTGTTCCATAGAATTTTCAATGGCTGACAGTTTGGAAGTAGTTGCCAAGCCTTTCTTCTGAGGCACTCAGGGATGATTCAGACCTCTAACCTTTTAGTTAGAGCCGCTGGGTGGCACAAACAGTTGACACTCAGCTACAAGGGCTTCAGAAATAGTTATTTACACATGTACTTTAATATACAAAAACATTCATATAAACATCTATTTAGCTACAAGGTTAGAATCCACTGGCTGCTCTGAGGGAGAGGGCTGGGCGGTCTCCTCCCATGTGATTTAGTACCTCTGAAAACCTGTGGGAAGGTCAGCTATGGGTCAGTTTTGACCTGAAGGTACAAGACAACCACAGAAATACAAATAAGCAAGAGGCAACTAAGGCGTTGCCCTTCTGAGATTACATTTTACACACTATTTATTGTTATAAGGGAAAGAGGAATTCTGCTCAGAGTTTAGGAAGGTAGCAAAATTTCCAGGTTTCTATACAAGATCTGCACCTTGTAAGGGAATGAATGCTTGTCCATTTTCCTCATCTGTGAGCGCTCAAGATCTGGGAATAGGAGGAATTTAAAGCCCCCAGTCCTGATCCTGTTGTTGTTGTTATATGCTATGTAGCTGGAAATGACCCAAAGCTGATCCTCCAGTGGGCTTTCAAAGGCAATAAATCTCACATGAGAAGACTTACATCTTTCTGCAGAGTAGCTGGTGAATTCAAACTGCATGCCTTTGCCACCAGAGCATAAGGACCTAATTTCCCAAGAATGACCAGAGTCTTATTTCCCTGATAATATTCAATTACCTGCACATGAGTTGGAAACTGTGTTCCCAGGTGTAACACCATTTCTTTATCTTCTTGTTTGGGGATAGCCAGGATACTTTGCGTTTCCATATAAAAATGTTCCTGTCCTTCCACGTGGACCTCACCTGTAAAGTATAAGTGTAAAAAAAATTAATAAGAGATTCCTAATTTGAAAAGATTCCTAATTGGGGTCTTTGGGGATGTTTTATTTATAAACAGTGAGTTGTTTTAGCTTATGGAGAGATAGTCTTTCTATCAATTGATTAAACGATATTGTCTAATCTTTGCTGTACCAACCAGCTGAGCAACCCTGAGTGGCACTTCACCTCTGTGGCCTTTCTGTTCTCTTCTGTGTAGTGAGCTGCACATTAAACCATCAATAAAGTAATAGAAAAGGAACATCTAACACCTCAGTAGAAGCAGCAAGCTCTGGTGGCTTATCAGTCAAGAGTTGTACTGCCAGCTCAAAGGTATGTGGTTCAAATCTGCTAGCTGAAAGATGAATAATCTCCTTGTATGTGATTTACTGCCTCTGAAAACCT